GAAAAGGAAAACCAAGCATCATGCCATGCCAAAGGTGCAAAAAGAACTACCATCCTATAAAAACAACCCTATCCTATCTGCATATCCTAACACTCAGCTACTCAAACCAAACTTTACTTCGATCAAGTTCAATGCACTCTGGAAAATGGCCACAATCCTGTAAAAGCAACCCTCTCCTATCTAAAAGTCCCTTTTTCTTTTTAAGCGTACCTTTGGCGCATGGGAAAATAGGGAAAAGTGGACGTTTTCCAAACTCCTAAAGTTTCGGAGGCCGGGCCCGACGACGGCTGCCATTGATAAATCTGATCGGCGGCTGTCGCGTCGTTTCAGCCTCCGAAAAGGTCGGAGGCCCACCGGAGGCCCGCCGTTTTCCCAAACTCCTAAAGTTTTGGAGGCCGGGCCCGACGACGACTGCCATTGATAAATCTGATCGGCGGCCGTCGTTTCGTTTCGGCCTCCGAAAAGGTCGAAGGCCCACAGGAGGCCCGCTATTTTCCCACGCGCCAAAGGTACTAGAGATGGGAAACCTACTTAGCGAGGTGATAAGAGCATCCCCGGTAAGTAGGCCCCAGCGTCGAAGGCTCCATCTATTGGTGGGGAGCTACACCTGCTGGAAATCGGGTCCAGCGTCTCTATACAAAAGACAAAAATATATCTGCTGGAAATCAGGTCTAGCGTCCTTGTGCCATGGTGTGAATGTGTATGCTGGAAAACGAGTCCAGCGTCCCTATCGATCTGATCTATAGAACCTCGTCGGCCGCGAAACGCTAATCCCTGATTAGCGCTAGTGGCCGCGAACGTGGTCTGATGGTTCGAAAGGCGGTTCACGGGGTTGTGGTACGAGTTTGACTGTAATATCTCTGACGAGTTGTACTGTACTTTACTATCCAATTTGTCATTTCATGGCTTCGACATGTATTGACCTTTTGCATCATCATACTCTGACAAGTTGTCTGAAAATTGAGGCCTCTGTTAACCGCCTCTCACAGGGACACTGGACCCGATTTCCAGCAGGTGCAGCTTTTTTTTTTTTTTTTTTTAACTTCGCATGTGGGAAACCTACTTAACGAGGTCACAAGAGCAGCCCCACTAAGTAGGCCCCTGCGTCGAAGACTCCATCTATTGGTGGGGAGCTGCACCTGCTGGAAATCGGGTCCAGCGTCCCTTTACAATGATGTAGTGTGTATCAGCTGGAAATCGGGTCCAGCGTCCCTATATATGTCATTCAATCAAGACAGGAAACCCCTTTTTTTTTTTTTGTTTTTTTTTTTTTTTGAAACGCCTCCCGGGTGATAGGGGTGCTGATAAGAGCAGCCACCGCTACCACCCGGGAAGAGGCTCCATGTATTGGTGGGGAGCATCACCTGCTGGAAAGCGGGTCCAGCGTCCCATATACAAATTATGATCAAGAAAACAGTTTGGAGGATCCTTGCCAGCATTGATTACCCTGGATTCCAGGGGATTGACTGAGCAAGGCCATGGAAAAATTGGAAAAAAATAGAACAAGGCCATGGAAAAATTGGAAAAAATTAGAAAAGACCTGCCACTAAGCAGGTTGTATCAGAGTATAACTGAGATGGAAGCTAACTTCCGAAGATCGTCTGCACCGGATGTAACTGAGATGAAAGCTAACTTCCGAAGATCGTCTGCAGACTCTACACAGGATGTTGAGCTGCTGACAGTAAACCTCTTCGCCCTATACTAGGCGCCGAATTTCTGCTGCTGAAGGCCTAGTTTCTCCTTAAAAGCCTGATGGTCCATTTCACCCTGTAGTGTGACGCCCAAAACCTCACGCCCAGCGCGACTTCCTGATCGGAGTAGGATGTGGGCCTGGAACTGCGAAAAGGGGTGTGCCAAGGATTTTTGGGAAAGTGGGGGTGGAGTCCCAGGTCAGAACTGAGATATCCTGTGGCAGGGTTTTTCGGGGGCACGAGTGCAATTTGGCGGAGAGGGCGGACCGCCTCTGGTCACAAGGCAGATGGTATGTGCGGGTCGCTCAAGGCCGGGCGAGCCATTGGTTCCGAAGACGACGGTTTGTGGGGAGGTCCCTTCGGGGTGGGTAGGGTTCCGATGAGTCGGGCCGTCGGGAGTTGCCACGTGGCGCCGATCGTCGTGCGTTCGGGTTAGGCCTTCGGAAGTCCGGGGTCCTCTGGTCGCCGCGTCGTCGGCAATTTCCGCAAGGCATGCTGGGCCAGTACGGGGCTATGGCCTTCCACGGGACGACGCTGAGTTGGTGATATGGAAGAAGAAGGCGAAAGGGAGGGAAGCTGGTGGCGATGACGACAAACCCGGGGTGGGTGAAGTAGTGGGTATGGTCCTGAGTGGGGAAATCAAAGCACCTGGGGTCGCTAGTGGTGGCGCAGTGAAACTCTCGAGGACACAGTCGGTTCTCGGTTAGGCAGGGGTATCTCTGTCGGAGGACTTCGTTTACCCATGGGGTGAACTAGTCAGGGTCGTATAGCAATGACTCCGAGCTCTCTGAGTGTGTCATTGTATCATCGCAGAGTTATGAGATGCCTAAGGGCGGGTCAATGGCGATTGCGATCACCGCGTGCGAGCACGTGCAGGCCACGCAAATTAAATCGGGCTTACGCGTGTTCGTATGGGATGACTGCTCCGTCGCGGACCCTGGATGGCCACGTCCAATCAGACAATGCTTCTGTAATCGATGGTCCTTTTGGGATTGACGAATCGGCGCACGGGGATACGTGTAAGTGCGCAACTCAGATCGCGTTTACACGTGTCCTCACGCGGCGTTCGCTGGGCCAGACATCCGATCATCTAATCGCTCAGTAATTTTCGAGCATGCAACATGCAACAAATACAACAGCCCAGTCAAGAGGCAAGCACAAACGAGAATAGGATTACCGATTGCGCAAAATTCCTATCCTACTCACAAGTGCATCAAATGCAATAAACAAAGGCAAGGGCAAGGATCCGATAGAAAGATGAGTAATCAAACATGGCATCCATTCATTCATTCAATCAACAACATACACTCAATGCATATGAGATTGAAATCACGAAGACAAGTGTGAGCAAAACCCAAATCCAGATTCCGAAAAACAGAAAACGGGCAGATCGCCCGGAGCCGAAATCAAAATTTATATACACGAGACAGGAGGGAGAAAAGATAAAAGAAACATCAAATCCGCGTCCATCAACCTCAACTCTCTCTTCCTCTCTCTTCTTCTCCGATGCAGACAGTCCATCGTCGCACACCAACCCACGAAGCCGTCACCCCGCTTAGTCATCCCGCACCCGTCAGGTTCGCCCGCGCCCACAGTCCGCCGTGGCCCGCGTCAACCCCGCGCGTTTGGCACCACCTCGTCGGGTCGCCCGACTCCTGCTCTACTCACCTCTTACTTCGCTCGTGTGCCGACCCTCTCTGATCGCGCAACCCCGAGCTTCCAACAACTGGTTAAGAGAGCTAACTAATCGCGCAGCCGGAATTTATAGCGTGCATGCTTGCGTGAAGAACACGGAATTACAAGGATTTGGGAAAGAGGATTAGAGAGGGTGCGCCTGCGTTCTGTATGACCGGGCCGCGGCGTGGGGGACGTAGCCACTCTCCACGCATCGATCTCAGCATGTAGACCGTGGCTACAAAAACGCAGCAAAAGAAAGAGAAGGAGGGCGGGAAAGACAAAGCGCAAGAAGAAAGATATAGTTACAATGGCGCCGTCCCAAAACTACAGTTACTCAGTGTCACTCGATTAAAGGCGCCGGCTAATCAGAATTCCATTGCAGCCGCATAAAGCAGCGCGTAAGCAAAAGGTGCCGCGCGACAAAAGAAAGTCCTAATTACAAAATTCCTAAATTCCTATCTAATGCGAAAAAGCAAGAAGCACAAGTTTCGGAAGGAAAGTCCGAAATTTCGAGGGCCATCGGGGCTGGACAAAATTCGAAACCGAATTCGAAAATTCAAAAAGAGCGAAGCAAATCCCCGCGCGATGTCTGCGCTCAAAACGTTCCGACACCGAACCAAAAAGAAACGACGTTAACATTTATTAATCGCGCGCTTGGCGGCGCGCCAGCCACTCAACCGACCAATCAACCGATCGTCCCGGGACTCACCCAGCCCTGAACCCATCCATTCGTAAAAAACGACGAAAAAGACGAAGAAGCGAGGGTACTGATGCAATTTCCCATCCATCCCAATCTCCCGTAATTGGCCCAACCTTCCCAACTTAGGACCCCTCATTGTAACTGCGCAGAAAGTCGCGTGCTACAGAAAGTGGTTCGTCACATATGTGACGCCCAGGGGGTTCCAATATTAGCAAGTTCCTACTTGCTTGTTGACACGTGTCGATCTCTCTAATCGATCGACACGCGGAGCTCTTCTTTCTATGCCACTTACCGTTCGAGGGAGTGTGGACGTCGTCCATCGTGGCAACACAGCCCTACTACTAATTCCTCAGGAAGGGCCATCGACAATTCAAGGAGGGGATTACACGTGTCGTTGTCATGACGCGTTCCCATCATTCATACATCAGCGAGCGTCGGGGAGGGGAAAGGGGAGGCGATACATGGAGGGGTGGCGCGGTGGAGGGTTGATGGGTAGCGGGGGAAGGAAGCTCTCCATTCCAGCCACCGTCTCCGGAAGTTCCTGGTAACGAACGATCCGGTGAAAGCGGGGGAATCGGTTGCCCGTGTGGGGGAGGGACGTGAGGTAGTCGGGATAGAGGGTGGTAAAGGTTTGGAAAAGCGCCGCGCGAAAGTGATCGTGGTTCTCACATGCGGGGATAGTCCCCGTAATCATGCAGTATACCTCGATCATGTTGTGGCCTCGCCACGCGGCACTAAGGAAAAGGATATGGAGGGAGAAGACGGGGCGGGCACATCGGGTGGAAGGGTGGGGATGAACAGTGACAACGAGACGGGTGGTGTAGAAGAAGCAGAAGGTATCGATGGGGAAGGGGTTGTCGGGGAAGGTGACGTAAGTAGAGATCTGGCGGAAAGAGAGGTGGTCAAGGGGACGGCGGGATAACGACCGGGGACGAAGCCCGGTGCCCCGCATCGGTACGTGGACAAGTTGGTGGGCGGTCGGAGGCGGAGGGGGAGGGGGATCAGCTTCGTCACCATTGCGCTGGTGCGGCCGAAGTCTCAGCAGTTGTCTCTCCATCCTCGGGCTTAGGTGGCTCTGGATCCCGGGCCGGATCGTCGGTGAGCGGCTGGCCGGCTGCGCTGGCGAACTCCAACTGTCTCTTCCCGGCCACGATTTCTTCCCTCTTCTGCGCCTGGGACTGCGCCCGAGCCTCGTCGCGCACTTCCTCCTCGAATCCTTCCCACTCCGACTCTTCCAACTCCTCCTGATCTTCTTCTTCTTCGTCGTTTTGCTCTTCTTCCTCCTCCTCTTCACTTTGCTCCCCTTCGCTGTGCTCACTGTAACTCCTCTCTTCGGGAGTTTCTTCCTTGTCGGCCTCTTCTTCGACCTCTTCTTCTTCTTCTGAGCTTTCTTCTTCCGCTTCAATCTCTACCTCCTCATTCTTGGAAGCCGTCCGATCTTGGAAGAAGGCGAAGTCGACTATCTTATGCGGGTCCAAATAACCGCGCTGTGATGGTGGGTTGCGGCCGCTCCCTGGTTCCTCCAAGCACGCCGACCACTGAAGATATGGTGCCAAGGTCCGCGTGAGAACGTGCGGGACCGGGCTGTCGTCGCTCTGCGAGACGATCTCAAGAGGGAGATCGTCGGCCAGCTGCGCAAGGGGGACCGTTAACTCTTGTACGATCAGTTGGCGATGATCGGGCCGCACTGATCCGAAGAGGAATCTAAGAAGATCGCCGTCCACTTCCGTTCGCCACGCCTGGATGATAAGCAGCTCGAGGTACTTGGCCCACTGGCGGTGATCCCCGTGCCGCGTCCACGTGACCCTTACTCCGACCAGACACACCGACAGCTCTACGAAGTGCTCTCGCCAACGCCTCCACTGCTGGGGATCGAGGAGGGGGGCAGCGAGGGATTCCAAACAAAGGGAAACGTGCGGATGGACTCCAGATTGCCAGAAAGTGGGAAAGAAGGAGGCGAGGTCGAAAGTGGAGATCGGGGATAGGTTCATTGAGGACGGGGGAAGAGGACGAGTTCCACGAGCACCACCGTCGGCTCGTGCTGGAAGGTTCGGATCCCGTCGAGATCGACGTCGTCCGTGGGAAAAAGGTTATCTCCGTGGGGCATGAGCCAACGACTCCACTCCGCCGCCAACTGCTGCGCCCAGAGCCGGAGCGACGTCGTGATGGTTGTATGCCGCAGCGGGCTGATGGTGCTGATGTCGCCACTGAAGGTGACCACCGTAGACACTTGGCTGATTCCAGGAGCTGACCGCCGATGAACTGCTACCACCTCCGCCAACACAACCGCCCGGGGACTGCCTGCAAAGCGAAATTCAGCGGCTGCGTACACTCCCTGAGTACAGAAGAATTGCACAAGTCGCCGAAGGTTCCGATTGAGCCGCGGATGGTGAACTTATCGGATCGCCGAGATGTGACACCGTGGCACCAGCAGGGGATCGCCGAGAGCTCGCCCTGTAAGAAAACTTATGGCGATGGCGACGGGGACGGAGTAACGGAAGGAGAATGAGAAGGAGACGGAGAGACATGCGATAAACAGTCGTCGTCCTCGTCCGCAATGGAGGAGGAATCAGATGAAGGTGAAGATGGGGAAGGAGGAAGGGGACGGAGGTAGGATATGTGGCGGATGATCGGACGAGCCGATCGGCTGCAGGAGACCTCAGGCGCAAGCCGCACGGTCTTCACGTCGTTGGGTCCGAGTTCAATCACGTGGAATCGCCCGAAGAATTGTGGCGCTAGCTTGCCTTGGCGAGCACATTTCCTCACCTGCACGATGTCCCCCAATTTGTACTGGGGCCGTGAACCTCCGTTCCCGTTCCGGGCCTCGTAGCTTCGGACCTGTCGGCCATGGGCCAACTCGGTCATTTTCTGGCGTTTTCGGGCTAGCCTGGGGAGGGGACGTTCCATTAACTCTAAGTGCCGCTTGGCCTTGTCTCGTGCTGTGGCCCTCGTGGGCCGGCGGTTAAGCGTTGATTCGTCAGGGAGGCTTGGTATCGAAACGCAAGCGACACTATTAGTCCTTAATTGGAAGGGGCTCAGGCCCGTTGATTAATGGGCCGTTCCGCGATGGACCGCTAGGATGTGGTCGATGATATTGGGCCAGGGCCTCGGATGCCGTGTCGCGATGTTTCGTCGCAAAGCTATCTTGATCACCTTGTTGGCGTTTTCTACCAGCCCATTGGATTGTGACATAAGGGGCGCGGTGTTCCGCACAGCGACACCGTGTATGACCAGGTTCCTTAATACTTCTCCTCTGAATTCTGCCCCGTTATCGTTCAGGATCTCTTCCGTATCCTGGTGCATCTCGAGAAAACGGTTAACATACCGCGCGATTTCGGAGGCTTGTCGCGTGCGACATGGATAGGCCTCGATCCATTTTGAAAAATGGTCGACGAATACCAACAGGACTGAATATTCACAACTATTAGGACCAGGGGGTACCATGATATCGGTGGTATCCATACTCACCCTTTGGAACGGCCGCTCAACTACCATTGGTACTATCGATCTTGGCGGCTGGATCGACGCCTTGTCATCAGCGCAGACTTGACAGTTTGCGACGATGAATTTCACATCGTCCCAAATATTGGACCAATACCATTCGTTTTTGTCGATGGCCGACTCCGTAATCCGTACGGCAAAATGGGCTGCCGTTTCCTCATGTGCCGTCTTCACCCAGTCGTACCTGATGAACGGATGCGGTACAACCATCCAAATCCCACTGCCGTCCGTTTTCCGGTTTTCTAACCTACCCTCTATCCATCGATAATCCCGAGCCCTTTCGTTAGCCCTCCTTCGATCTTCCTTGGTGAAATCCTGGAGGGGGTTACCAACTAAGGTGGCAATCAAAGCGATGTCGGTCCATACTTCGGCCCTTCGAAATTTCCGGGTTTTTTCCAACCCTTCCGACGTGGCACCCAGAAAGCGAGCCTCGGTCGGGATCTTGTCAACCCGACACAAGGGGCATAACCACGGTTTACTGTCGTTTCGGTATTGGATGCACGAGCCATGAGCTCGTGCGACACACGGCCGACAGTCTATCCATTCCGCATACCCTTCCCCGTTAGGACACATGGAGACAGCTATGAAACACCCGCGGACGCGTCCGCGGGTCCGATCTCGGATGGCGGACGCATATGGGTCCCTGTCCGCGGCCGACCTGGTTCATGCCGCGGACCCAATTTTACCAGAATTTTCCTGAATTAAATAATAGGTTAAAAAAATATATATATATATATATATGGGGTTGTAGGGAATTTTAAGCCCTACAACCGCATATTTTGTTTTTTGGAATCCGACTTTGTTTAGGATTTTAAAAAAATCAAAAACTAAATTCGATTTTAAAAAAATCAAAAAATATATATAAAGAAAAGCTGGATTTTTTTTGGGTCATTTTTTATCATGAGATATATGGTCCCTGAATTCACCTATATTTTTTTGGAAATGAATTGCTGTTTTTTGCAGGGGTATGAGGTGTTTTAAAAAAATGCAAATGCAAAATTTGAAAATAAAGAAAGAAAAAACTTCAAAAAAAGGGTTTGATTGATTGATTGATTGATTGATTGATTGATTGATTGTGAGTGAGTGAGTGAGTGTGTGTGTGTGTGT